GGTTCCAGCTTTCAAGGTTATATCCTTTAGAGAGTTTGTTAATCTCATTACAGAAATCTGCCTGCTGACAAACATAAATAAGGAGTGGCAGAAGGATTCCTGCATGACAGATCTCACTGGAGTCACTCTGTTCTTCAGACAGAAAGTTCAGACAGCCGGGTACAGAGGAGTTCAAAACATGAGAATCAGCCTGCCCTTTTTAAAAGAAAACAGACCAAAAAAAAAAAAATTTACATCACCTCTGGATTAAATGAGTGAAGCTGATAAACGGTGTCTGGAATGTAGCACCATCTTGGGCCTCTGTTGGCTTTAACTGTCAGCTTCGTCGGTAATATGAAGGATGAGCAAATCGTTCCAAGTATTTTACTTTAACATGCAGGAAGTTTTTTTATAGCAAATGAATCAACTTCAGATGAAAGTCAACATCAGTATTTCCTTGCTTTGGGGAAAAAAAAAAAAAGAAAAAAAAGAAAAAAAAAAAAGCAGCCACAAAGGCTAGAAGCACCAGCATCATCAGAGGCGAGATCACCCTGAACACTTCCTTTTACTTAAGGCTCATTAGAGCACCTCCAGAACACTGCATCCAGTTCTCTCCCCCCCAGGACAAGAAACATATTGAGAAACTGGACCAGTGGCAATGGATGCCCACCAAGGGAGCCAGAGCACTTCCCCTGTGAGAGGCTGGGCTTGTCAAACCTGGAGAAGAGATGGTTTCAGGGGTCCTAGCAGCAGCCCCCCAGTTCACCATGGGAATGGCTGAGCAGTGGAGCAGGTTGCCCAGGGAGGTCTGACAGTCTCCATCCGTGGAGATTTTCAAGAGGCAATGTGAAAAGCCTCGAGCAGCTAAGCTCAACACTGTCGCTGCTTCCCACAGGTTAGACTCACTGACCTCCCAAGGTCCCTTCCAACTCGAGTCAGTCTGATTTTTGCATGCTCTCTCTATTACCACAGTGTCACGGACAAGCAGTATTAGCTGTCCACATTGTAGGAACACGGTCATGCACTATTCCTTCTGCTGAGCTCTGCTACCACTTCTATTCTCAGCAGTCTTTGCGTGCCCAAGCGCAAGTCATTCTATTTATATTCATCTCATAAAATGTTTAAAACATCAGGAAAAAAAATGCTTACAATATGAAACACAGATCTGAGGTGTAAAGAGAATACCAACGCTGTTCTTTTTCTGAGATCAGACATTGTTTTTCAGAGCAGCAGGTGGGCGCAAGGCTTATTTCCATTAAGTTGTTAAAACCAGAAGCTCGAATCTTATTTTTATAGGTTTGATAACTGTTTTCATGGAGATACATACAGATAGAAGCAGGAGTCAGATTTTGTTTTTGAGAGGAGGGTTGAAGAGTAAAGAAACCTGAAAAACTTGCACTGTCTTATGTTTAGTAAACATCAGCTTGGTAAATTTTTAATAGGATCTTGAAACTATTATTTTCCAGATTTTTAGTGGGGAAAAAAATGAAAAAAAAATAATAAAAAAACATTCTTCCCAAATTGGTGTGAAATCAACAAAAGTTGCACTGATAAGTAATCATTTGGATTCATACGATGGAACACCAGGACAACCACCCCATCATGAAGCTCTACTGTCTTCTTGCTCTTTCCATCCCCACATTAGGAGTCAAATTAGCTCAATTGCTAACAGAAAAATCTGAGATCAGCCTTTGCTCAGCAATAAATGATAACCAAAAATGACTGTGAGGTAGCAAAAGCTTCAATTAGTAAGTATATCCTATCGATTCATTTTGTGGTGTAGACAGACCTTGGAAATAAACTTGAAATCCATGCTAAGTGCTGGTGTAACTTCTAATAATAAAACAAAAGAAAGTTGAAGCAAGCAGTGTTTCTTACAGTCACATATAGTATGGCTGAATGTGGTCCAAGCCTACCAAAATACTGGTGTGGAACATCAGTGGTGGCCATCTATTTTCGGAAAATGGCAAGCTTGAACGTTGATGATCCTGAAAAGGTGACTAGGGAAAAGGCAAGCTGCAGCGATGTTTGTGGTAACATGACACCTAGTGTTCACCTTCGGGAAGTTTCTGTGTTGGTGGGTGCCAAACAAAAACAAACATACACACACAAAAGTAAATAAATATTTGTATTTGCGCCTCTATCCAAGTATCTGAATTACACAGACATAGTGAAAAAAAAAGAGGGGAAAAGAAACAGAAAATCTACATGTGTTGCACTTTGTCCTCTTATCAAGATCCCAATTTGGGTAACTCCCGATAAGAGCACCATCCCAAAAAGTTCCCAATCCCTTTTTTCCTTTGGGTTTCTGCTAAATTAAAAAAAAAAAAAAAAAAAAAAAAAAGTCTGCTGATAACTTCCATACAGAGTCACAAGAAAAGCTATTAGAAAACAGTCTGCTAGTTGATGAGATGTGATTTAAACAATAGAATTTTAAGAGAATATTCCCTATTCCAAAAAAACTACTGTCAAGATATTCATACATAACAATGAGCTATATACTTTTATTTCTTCATTCTAAAAAACTAGCATATCAGTAGTATGAATGACTGTAAGGCTATCTTTCTCTTTCATGCTTCTAGTAATACAATGAAAGCCACAATATTTAATGCATTAAGAACAATGAGACTGAAAAAAATCACATAAAACTGTGGCAGATACATGCTGACATAGTGGGTAACAATCCCTAAAGGATTTGACCTCTTGGTATTTTCTGAGGGGTAAAGAGGGGAAGAATTATACTAGAAATCCAAACAAAAAGCTCACTATAGATGAAGGAAACACACAGCTTTCTGAAATCGGCTCAATACAAGCATGTGTCTGATCCAGAATGAGATGAGTATCGAAATGTTAGAGACAAAGTCTGACTGAAACTTCAGTTCTACAGAACAAAAGATCAGCAATTAAACTTTAAGAAGTTAATAGACCCATAGCAAAAATAAATGCCTTAACAGAGCCCTTAGCATTAAAAGGCTCACATAAAACACATAAAATAAATGGGGATTATGTTTCAAATAATGCTATCTTCAATTTAGAAGTAAGCTGAGCTACTTTCCAAGGACTAGTGTTAATTGTCATCCTTTCGAAGAGGAAAAAAAAAATAAAATAAGGGTACCCTTAAAAATTAAGACTGCCTAGCTACTACAATCCCAATGAATTGGACTCAGCATGCAATATTTAATAGTGAAATGGTAACTGGTGTTGTCATATCTTATTTCTGAGGAAACTTGCACAAACACAATCCATTCACTGATACTAATATGTGTGAGATTTTCATTTTAGCAAGGTAAACAGACTCAGATTCCAGTAGTGTTAAAGCCACTCAATTAATCAAGCACCTATCACACTATTAATCATAAAAGAAGGCCTTATTTTTTAAGATGTTAAGAGTATACTTCTCTGCACAAGTATGTGACATCTCTGGGAAGCTATGCAGTTATGAACTCATATAAATAAGTATCTGAATATCTGCCATAAGATGTCCCTGTTGAACTTAAGGTCTATAAGACTTTTTTTTTTAAAAAAAAAAAAGACTATGTATATAGGCATTCTTTCAATCATATTTTAAATACTCTGGAAAGTGAGGCAAAGTTGTTCTGCATTTATTTGAAACAGCTTGCCAAAGATTTTGATTCATGTTCCTATTTCTCATTGAGGGTCCAGGTAAACTATATGCCCACGAGCCTTTAGTTCCTACCACACTTGCCCAAGGGGCCAGCTCACCTTCATTTGGGAGCTAGCTTTGCTCCAGCAGCATCACAGGCAGAAGTCCCACAAGTATCAGAAGGAACAGCATGTCCTATTGGCCTTAGATGTATGCATTTAACACCACTACAAGAATACCAGTCATAAATTTCACCTAATGATAGTGATTATTCCTCACCTTTAACGCTGAAATATTCTGAACTGCCATACAACCTACTCAGCTGTTAACATTTTAGGTAATTGCTGCACAAATTATTTTTACAGTTCAGGAACAGGTCTTGCAGATCAAGAGCTGTGCAACAGCTTTGCAACACAGAGGATCCTACAGCATAATAATTTGATTATTTTCTTTTTAATTAAAGAAATTCTAGAACCCCAAAAAGAAATGCTTGCATCTCTTCCTACACTGCCAAAAGAGGGATGTCAACGTATACAGTGCAAAAGTGGGCTAGGACAAGATGAAATTTATTTCCACAGATCTGCAGACAGTTGTACTTGCTTGTGATTCCAGGTATCTACAAAACCTGTATCTTTGCTTCTCCACCTGTGTCTTCCAAATACCTACCCTCTGTCCTAAGCTTACAGAGACTCAAAGAAGTTATGAAATTACTGCGAAGGAGAACACGTCTGAAAGCAGGTGACTCCTAAATAATGCGGTAGGTAAAACATTAGGAAGATAACAGTTTTCCTTCATAAATCACAAGCCTGTGGTCACCGAAATAGCTTGAAGGACAGGGCAAAAAAATGAATCAGCTGTTTATTTTAGCACCGGTAAACTGTTTTATAACGGATGCAACTTTTTAGACAGAGGCTGAAAAACAGCGCAATTACACTCCCACAAAACAACCCCGCAATGCCAAGGCGAGCGTCGTACTAAACCACGAAGCCCGTCATTATTTTAAAAGGTACGGAGGGCACACTAGATGACGTTAATTTAATAAATCAAGGACAGCTGAGAACCACCATCAGAGGGCATCGTTTATAAATGATTTCTCAAAGGCGCTGCCACCAAAGTCGCGAGTATTTCCCAACTCCCCGTGTCCCCCCCCCCTCACCGCACCGAGCCCCCCGGCCTGAGGCAGCTCCCCCACCGCCACCTCCCTCCCCTCGGGGCCCCCAAAACTTCCCGGGGGGCTGCAGGAGGGGGCTGCCCGCAGCCCCCCGTGAGAGGGGGCAGCCCTGCAGCGGCCGGGCTGCCTTCTCGCCCCGCTCCCCACCCCGCTGCCCCCCGCTCTCCCCGCAGGCAGGCGCCTCCCTCCGGGCAGCGCGGCGGGAGTTGGTGCCGGGACGAGGCGGCGGGGAGCTCGGCTACTTGCCCAGGTGGGGACGAGGAGGCTGCCGGGGCGCTCAAGCGGTGCTGGAGGCGGCTGCTTCCCCGCCACGCTCATCTCCTCCCATGCAGCTGGCTTGGCTTCTCTCAGGCGGGCGGCTCGGCGGGACGCGGCGCCTGCAGGCACCGAGAGGCGAGCGGCGTGTCCCGGCTCCGCACCGCTCCGCACCGCGGCCCCGGCACGGTGGGCGGGGAGCGGGGGGCTCGCCGGAGGCTGCGAGCCGGGAGGGGAGAGAGGAAGGCGGCGGAGGAGCGCTGCCTATTTAACTTCGCTCTTCTCCGGGGGGAAGGCGCCGCCGCTCGGGCTCCCCTCCCCTCTGCGGCCGCATCCCGACAGACGGGGCTCTGGGTGCAGCCGGGAGGGCGGCTGTGCTCCTCCCCGGCACGGCACCGGCGGATATGGGGAGCTCCTGCCCGGGGAGCTTGTGCCCGGGGAAGGGCTTAACCTCCTTAATATCTTTATTGATGACTTGGATGAGGGAATTGAGTGCACCCTCAGTAAGTTTGCAGACGACACCAAGTTGGGGGGAAGTGATGATCTGCCCGAGGGTAGGAAGGTCCTGCAGAGGGACCTGGACAGGTTGGGTCAATGGGCAGAGGGCAATGGGATGAGGTTCAGCCTGGCTAAATGCTGGGTCCTGCACTTTGGTCACAATAACCCCATGCAGCGCTACAGGCTTGGGGCAGAGTGGCTGGAAAGCTGCGCAGAGGAAAAGGATTTGGGGGTGCTGGTTGATGCTCGCCTGAACATGAGCCAGCAGTGTGCCCAGGTGGCCAAGAAGGCCAACGGCATGCTGGAATAGTGTAGCCAGCAGGACCAGGGAGGTGATCATCTCCCTGTACTCAGCTCTGGTGAGGCCACACCTTGAGTACTGTGTTCAGCTTTGGGCCTCTCGGTACTAGGAGGACATTGAGGCTCTGGAGCATGTCCAGAGAAAGGCTACAAAGCTGGTGAAGGGCCTGGAGCACAAGTCCTGTGAGGAGTGGCTGAGGGCACTGGGGTTGTTTAGTCTGGGGAAGAGGAGGCTCAGGGGAGACCTTATTGCTCTCTACAGCTACCTGAAAGGGAGTTGTGAGGAGCTGTAGGTCAGCCTCTTCTCCCAAATAACTAGTGATAGGACTAGAGGGAATGGCCTCAACTTGTGCTAGGGGAGATTTAGGTTAGAAATTAGGAGATGTTTCTTCTCAGAAAGAGAAGTCAGGCATTGGAGCAGGTTGCCCAGGGAGGTGGTGGAGTCACCATCCCTGGGGGTGTTTAAGGAAAGGTTGGACATGGTGCTTAGGGACATGGTTTAGGGGGTGATGTTGACAGTAGGGTGATAGTCAGACCAGATGATCTTGGAGGTCTTTTCAAACCTTAATGATTTTGTGATTCTAAGGGGGACGCTGGGCGGCTGCAGGAGCCAGGGTTAGGGGGTGTTGCCATGCTGGTGTCAGTGTGCAGGACCCAGTGACACAAGGCCATCCCACAAGGTGCACACCCTGCTGAAGTCATCTCCAAATCAATATCAGGAGGGGTTTGACATCCCTCTGCTAATCATGGTGTGACCCAAGAGAGGAACATTTGCACCTCCAAACATTACTGTAGGGTTTTGTTCTTCTGTTGATCTTCAGCCTTAACTCCAGTATTACCAGCACCTAAGTTCCTAACCTGGGTAGCCTGGGCCATCAGTTTTGGGAAAATTTTGTAGGCTTGTGTTGCAACACTGGAACTGGAATTAAGGAGAAAAGGTGCAGTGTGATCCCTGATGCAGTAACTGTTAGTAGGGTCTCTGAAGGGACACAGGGAAAAGCTTTGCTCTTAATTTTTTCCCTTGGTTTATTTAACAAGGTTGCAGTTTCACACATGCAACTTTTTGCTCTCTTACCTGACAAAAGTTTGAAAAGACACTCCTCTTCCATTCTGAAGTTGCTGTCTTGCGATCATGCACAAATAACATTTTAAAAAAAAAAAAAAGGGATGAGTGGAGCAAGCCATGTTTTTTCTGAAGTTAATTTTAAGGATGTTCTCTATATTCTTTGCAAAAATAGTGTTTTTTTTTTTTTTTTTTTTTTGCTTGTTTTTGTAAAAGCAGCACAGTAGTTAGAGCAGGAAGGAAAAGTGCACCTCAGAAGTAACTGTACAAAACACTACTGTGCTTTACTCTGTCGAGAAAATTCTCTTCCCAAATCCCAAACTTCTTGGAACCACATACTATCCCAAACAAGTACTGCATGCTGTGCTGCATGCCATTTCTGTTTACTGATTCACCTTTGCGCATACCAGAGCCCCACAGAAGATGTGGAGAGATGAACAAGAGGGCAGTTTGCTCTGAGAGGTTATGGTGTTTTGGGTGTTCTCCAGATGTGCTCAGGGCTCTCTGGCTGTGCCTGAGTGGTTTTCTTTGCCATGCCCAGAGCCTTGGAGTTTGCCATGCAGCAAGCAGTTTCTGTAATTCTCCTAAACAGGTAGTGCTCATACTCAAGCCAATCTGTTCCATCTACCCTGTGGGTAAAAAAAAAAAAAAAAAGTCATTTATCGCACTCTATGCCTGAAGAAAAATGTGTGACAACAAGCTGGCAGTGTGAAACATTAGGGAGTCCAGGCCAGAACCTAACGCAACCATATAAACCTGTGTGCATGCAGAGTGTGCTGACATTGAGAGGTACGGGTCTTTCTGCTTATGGTGAAAGAATAAGGAAAAAGAACAGCCACACAGAAGAGCTGCAGCCTGTTTGGAGATGGATTGCCCCAGGCTCCCAGGGCTGGGGATTGAGAGGAAGCAGCAAGTAACAGTGGCTGTCCTGATTAACTTGAGAAACATCACACCTAGCCCCTTTGTGGTTGTGCTTTGCAGAAGTCACAGGCAATTCCCATGCACCCAGCATGTTTTGTTGGCATGTACATACCTCCAATAATGTGCAAGTAGGGTATTGGTTATTAATGAAAATGTGCTTAGACCATTTAGGAAGGATGGGAATTACTAAAGTTTGGCTTCTGTGAAGAGATACGGGTATTTGCTAGTATGGATACTAGTTTTGCTCTAGTTGAAACCTTGTTATCCTGCCCACATTTTTCATGGTTATTTAGTGTTCTTACATAAATGTGGTGCATAAGTGGGGTTTAAAAAATTGAGATGCAGGTAAATACAAAGTACATGGCATAGTAGTATCGTAGCGTACAGGAAATATGGAAAATATGGAAAATTACTTACAGAGATAAGTCTGTCCTTTTCAGAATGTTTCTATTTATCTATAAACTGTACTCTTTAAATTTTAAACTCTTTGTCAATTGGATATAATAACCGTTGCACAAAATAGAACTTCCTGAGAAGCTTATCTGAAAACTGACAATTGCATAAATTATTTGTGTAATGCACTGAATATTGGATAACATCAGACAGCTAAGGAACTACTAATACCATTATTTATTTATTATTTATTTAATGAATGCATTTCACAAAATTATATTCTCCTGTAGTATTGCTGTACTGAAAGCAAGTGGGAATACATGATTTAATTGACAACTAAGGAAAAAAAAAGTGGTTTTTAATGTTATGTAAGCTAAGCCAATTTGTGATAGTCTGCAAAACTAATTAATTTGAAATAATAAATTTATTTTCAAGGGACAATAAGGTTTAATAGTTTATGAAACCTATAAGCTTTTCAGGAGTTCATGCATTGCTCAGTTTGTTACTAGTGAAAAGCTTTTATGTGTTTTTCTCTTTCCTCTGTACATAACTTTTCAGTTTCACTGCATACCTGATCCTTGCTTGTGGCATTCCTGAAATACACGTACTGGAAGCTAACTGTCAGGTAGCTTTTGCAGTGACGACAGTTTTAACTTTTTTTTTTCCTGCGTTAGAATATATCCTATAATTTGGAATAGGGCAAATATTTAGAAATTTCTAGTCATGGAGATTTTATTTTAAAAAATAGTAATAAAGTAATGTTACAAAAAGAGAGAGTAAGTCAAGAGAATGCAAAATATGATTTCAGTAAAATACCATGAGTGTAAGTCAAAGTTTCATTAAGATTTAACCTGGTTGATAGCAAGATTTCCAGTTGTATGTGAAGTTTGAATAAATTCAGAATTCATGAAAACGGATGCAAACCAGTGAATTCAGAAAATACCGTGTTACACATCTGTCTTTATTTTCTTCTGTTTTCATACATATACTTGCATTCATACATAAAAGTGCATGCACACAGACTCTTGGCTTACAGAATGAAAAATGAAGACTATTTCCATTAAAACAATTAATAATTTATTTTATTATGCCAAATAAATGTCAAGGTTAAAGGCTTTTTAAAGGAAAGTGGATGAAACTGTAATTATATTTTTCCATGAAACGTTGCTAAGTCTTAAAGACATTACAAACACCATAAACATCCACACAGCTATTGAAGTCAGGTTGTTGTCTTAATATAAATATGAAAACTTGCAGATGTTCCAGTTTTAGACATTAATATTTGCTGTGTTCTTCAGGAAAAAAAAAAAAAAGGCCTTTCTGTAAAACTTAATTGCTTTCTGAGCATCATTATACTGAATATTGTACTAACAAAATAAATGCTCATTCATTTAATTCTGTGGAGAGAGATCAAAGCTATGAGGAAGTAGACCACACTTTTCTAAGGAATGCCAGTTAGAAGTTTCTCACTTAAAAATCACATGTAAAGCAAGGTAAAAATGCCACATGTCTCAAGGAAACTACAGCTTTCGATGGAGAAGTTGCCATTTAGCCACCAGTATGCCCCAGCTTAGGAGAAGGAGTAAGAAAGACCCTAGTACACTGAAAATCAGCATTAGACCCCTATCTTGATGTACTCTCCACTTGCTTTTTTTTTTTTCTATTTTTTTTTTTTTTAAAGTATTCAGCTCTTGTTTAAAGGACAAATTACAGGGCATTACATCTTGGCAACCCATCAGAGCACAGTAATATGCCAGATACTACTTACAATATACAATGATAAATCACTAAAATTTCACAGGTATGTTATTTTGCTTCAAAAGACAAACACTTCCTTGTTCTCTCAAATCTATAATGTGCACCAAATGCCCTGTAACTTGCTGTCCCAGAAATTTCCTCAGTTTGCTGAGTGGGGTAAGAAACTGTAACTGTACATACAACAGCAGCAAAATGGAAAGAGGCAGTAAAATAGCATAGCATCCTGTGAAAGCAAGATGCTGCTGTACTACAAGCAAACAAAAACTTCCCTTAAACAAGCAAGCATTCACTGATTAAAGGTGGATGAAATAAACACCTCATATTTTTACAGCAGTTAGATTGAGCCATGGATGGAAGAGACAGCAGGAAGATTTTCCAAACCATCCTGCCCCGCTGCTGACTGACTGTTGTTCAGGGGCAGTAGACCTTAGCAGGGCACCCTGCTGCCAAAGGTTGGCTAAGGCAAACTGGTACGATTGTGTCTGTTCCTGATGAAGGGATGAATATTGACTGCATCAATCAGGAGTTCAGCATCTCAGGCTGTTCGAGAGAGGAATTCATC